ATTAAGAGATATCTTTCTTATTTGGCTCATATGCATTGTTTAACATTGTTCTAGTGTTATCCTCGTGTGTTGTGTGTGTCTATAACTACATTCATACAACATATCGTGTAACAATCCAAATTCTTAACTATCGAGATATTATCCGTTTTTGGACTAAGGGGCCTCATAGTTTTATTCTTGTTGGTGTAACTTCTCAGGAGATCACCCATCCCAGGATTTCTTCGGGATGAGCATGTTTAACTGCAAAGTTTTTTTAATGAAATTCCAACCATTATACTAAAAGGCGTCTTGATGTTTAAGAGTTTAACTTCTTTTACTTATCACATGTCGAACTTGTCATACCTCGTTTGATTTCACCCTTAAGAAACATTTATCTCCAATTTCATAAGTTCTGAAGTTTGTTGATCTTGAATTGGGTTGTGCAGAAGACTCGTGAAATTGGTATAAAAAATATTAGGATATGGATAGCAACTTTTCTCTTGGGAACTTTTATCCTAAGGTTTACCATCTTGGTTGCAAACTTTTTAAAAGTGGCCATTATGGTTGCATCTAGTCATCAATCTGTTTGTACATATGACCCGTGAAATTGAAGAAATTCTTTTCAAATTCCTTCCAACTTATCTTAGTTCTATCTTCCATCGAATGAGGGGTTTGTGTTTATATAACTTTCTAAATTTTTCCACAATCGATACAAATCATGATGAAATTCCTATAGTTTGGAATTATGCTCCAATACAAAATATGGAATTGGGGATGTGCAAAAGACACATGAACCTATAGGAAGATGATAGGACAAGAGAATATGGATTCTATACAGGAATCGGAGTGTTCCTTATATGTGATGATGAAGAAAATCATGCACTTGCTTCCAGCTTAATTGTTAAAATTTAAGGACATCAACTTATAGAAAAATTGGTGCCAAGTCATGTCTATCCACAATTCCAACTAAATGCACTAATTTAGGAATGTCATCAAGAAATTTTGTGCTAAAAAACTATCTTAGAAAACAGTTAGAATGCCTTAGTCAACTAGACTAGGGTTAGTATGCTTGGCTAATGGGCTTAAGCAGGAATGAGATCATAGATTGGATGCCATATTGGGGACTTTTTAATAGACTAAGAGATTTTAGAGTATCACATATTAGTGTTGCTAGCCATGCTTGGGTTTGCCCATAATTTTCATGGATGACTATCATAATGTTTGGTTTTGACTTTCAAGACTGACATGGCTGACATGATAATATAGCATAGCCTATGCGTTTCAAGGCTGACTTAGGGTTCGTTTGGGACAACTTTCGTCTTGCTTCCTAAAATAGCTTTATAGTACAAAATTTTTTAGTTTAAACTTCTTTAAGAAGCAGTAAACAAGCTGTCCCAAACAAAGCCTTAGGTGATGTCTAGTCTGCTTTCAATAGCTTCAAGCTTGACTAAGGTGGGCGAACTTAACTTCATTAATCTTTTAATTGACCAGAGTTTGAATGATCAATTGAATCCTATTTAATCCTCTGATTAGTTGGGTGAGCTAACTAGATCAACCCTAACTACTACATCGAGGACCTGGATTATAAAAGTAGATCAATAGTTGAGTAGAAAGTAAAAGCAGTTTGAATTGTTTGGGCTAGCTCTTTTGTATGTTCTTTTCCTCTTCTTTGTTTCTCCTAGCTGCACAGGTAGCATTCCTAGTTATATAATAATTAACTACTCGAATGCGCTTGTGTTGATGCAGTGCAAGATTTGCATGCAAACATTCATGTGTACTACTTCAGAATCTAAGTGCAAGGAGCATTTTGAAGCCAAACACCCTAAGAACGACCTTTTCCAGTGCTTTCCTCACCTCAAATAGTTAGTAAAATCCCATCTTTACTTGTGACTTAAATGAATGAAAAAGTTGTTGCATTTGCAGGTAAATTATTCCAAACCAGTAGACTTGTTATTATTAGTTTATGTTTGTGCTCTTCATATAGAAGTAGATAGTGCATGGATGAAGGGAACCTTTGAGAAGTTATTATAGATAAATTATTTTATCATCAACTTTTCTTTTTCTTTTTCTTTTAAATGCAATTTTTTTTTTTACTTTTACTTTTTTTTTTTAGTAACGCAACTTTTTATTCAAGGAGATGGATTTGTGACAGCAGAAAAGTATTGCAAGAGAAGTCTGTAGTTCAATCAAATGAAATTGAAAAACTAGTTTGGTTGGCAATGGTCTTGAGACTTGCTGTCAGGGGTATAAATGAGGTGAAATTATTCTGTGCAGATATCAGACCGTTCAGAGGTGAATTAGATCGTCCCACGTCACCTGGTACACAACAAAAGGGTGACGTTGCATGCTCTGATTCAACTTCGGATGGTGTTCAGTGTTTGCACATAATAATTTTTTTTGTAAATGAGTGGGATGAAATATTTGCCTAATTGAGTTATAAGCTCATTTAATTCTTATTGAGCTCGAATTTGAGCTTATTTATTGAGTTACTAGGCTCGAGCTTGCGTAGAGTATTCGAGCTTGTTTGAAAAGCTTAATCAATAAATTGTTTAAAATATTTAGTATATATTTTATTATATAATTATGGAATTAATTTTAAAATATATTTTAATTTAAACTAATGTCTCTACAAGCTTTTGAGCCAAGTCAAGCTCAATATGATGAGTTGCTCTCGTGTGGACGTTAATGAGTCAAATTTGAACGTGCTAATGCGATTAGTAAGCTTACTTACCATCCTATTTGTTGTGATTTTTTGGAATTCAAACTTCAAATACATCAAAATAAATCTCATCTCACATAAAATATATGCAAAAAAGGTCACATAAAAACAATATAAGAAATATTGCACTCACGTATTTCATTATTTGTCATATTTCAGTGGCTATCTTTTCTCTTAATACATTTATTTATTTATTTATTTATTATTATTTAAAAAATGAGGGAATTTATCCGTAGACACCCTCATAAAATTGACACTTGGTCGAGTAATTAATCCCTCGGCGGGCTTAGCGATGATCAGCCCCACAGGTGTCAAATCACGTATTTATTCTCTTCGCTTTAGTAGTCGTGTCTCATAAGAGGAATCGAACAAGAGTTGGAAGAGTAAGCCCATGCACTATATATATATATATATATATATATATATCGTACGATCAAAAAACTTGCAAGATGCTTCACGGGCTTTATCTTTTGCTGTTGTTGTTTAGGAACATTTCTTTCCTCAATTTTGTATATTCAGCATTGAACAAGTACAGGCATATAGGGGGATCTAAAAATTTACACTTTTGGAAAATAGAGCAAATAAAATTATTCTGTGCGGAGATCGAATATAGAACGTCATTTGCAGACTAACTAAAATGCACCATGTCAATAGTACCGATCTGCGGTAACGAACAAGGAGTGATGTGACGCATTTTGATTGGTCTTTGGACGGTGCTCGGCGTCTGCATTGAATACTTAAAGGTGAAGATGAGATGTATTCTCTTACCATAATTAAGGTGATGTATTGATTTGTTTATTTTGGATATTTCAAATTGTATTTATATTTGTTGGATGACAAGTTATTTATCTAAAGAGATCAAGTATTGACGGAGATATCATATCAGGTGTATAATAATGAGAGATTATTACTTGCAGAGTTCAGATACATAAACATTCGATTTTGTAACTGTGAACAGTAAAAGCATAGAAGTGAATAATAATTGAGTTTTTAATGTTCACCTTTACAAAACCGAATGATTCTCTGTGTCACTCACATAATAATCTCTCCGTAACCAAGCTTTGCTTAGAATAGTATTTCTTTATATATGATTACTTTCTAAAGAGGACTAATGGCAGATAAAGCTGCTATCATTAGATATCAAATGAATTAGCAGCATGCAAACGTTCACTGATTAAATGGCTAATTATTATATTAATTAAAATTTTGATAAAAAAGTAAATTTATTAAATTTATTAAGTATAAATGTACAATATACTACAACACTAATAATGTATTAAAAAATTTATGTTATAATTGTTTCAAAAATTTTGAGCTGATTATTGATTAAACCCAATAATGACAGTATCAAATGTATACAACATATAAGCAACTAAAATTTTTATGGCTTTTATCCACAAATACATTTAATGGTTTTGAGATTCATTTTAACATAAAAAATATATATATATTTGTGGTAGATTTATATACATACCACTTTTTATTTCTTACTATTTACATATCTAACCTCTAAAATTTTAATATTATATTATTACCACTCATAAAAAATTTTAATATCAAATATATCACTTATATATTTCATTCTTACAACTCGTACCACCCTATAAACATTTCATACACCCATATTTATTCTATAGATAATACGAATTTAATATAAAAATTTTAGGTGTTAAACATTTAAATAACATTAAATATAATTTAATGTATTTAAATCCCCACATACATACATACCACTTTATTTCATGATATTTACATATCTACCACTAAAAACTTTATATTACATTATTATCACTCATATGAAATTTTAATATCAAGTATATTACTCATATATTTTATTCTTATCACCCATACCACCCTTTAAACTTTTTTTTTTTTTTACCAAAGAGAAATTTAACATACAAAAATATGTAAGTGAATTTTTATAATAAAATATAAGAATAATGCTTAAAAAAATTAATTTGGTTAATTTAAAACATTTTTTATAAAAAAACAAAACGAAGATATTTCAAAAGTTTAGAATTCTAATCTAAAACAGGAAAAAAATAATCAGATATATCTTTATTCATTTTATATAAAAAAATTACAAAATAATTGAGAGCGAATACAATCTCTTACAGGAGAAATACAGAGCTTCATAGAACACTAATTCAAATACTAAAACAACAAATAAACGAATTGTTTAAATAATAATTAATGTTAAATTAGTATTTTAAATCATTATTATTTTAAAAAATAATATTTATAATATTATTTGTTTATATAAAATAATACTAAAAATACCAATAAATAAATAAATAAATTTTCAGACTCCATAAAAATCTATCGAAACCCTAAACCGCGAGAAAGAAGCCAAGCAAGGCTTCTTCAAGGGAAGCGAACTCCGCGACTCCTCCTCTTCCAAGCACCGCCACCCCACGCCTCCGGCGAACTCTTCCGCCGCCGGCAAGTTAAGATCAAAGCCTAACCCCCTTCCACAGTCCCCGATCGCCCCTTCGGAACCCGATCCAGTGCCGGCGGCGCTTCCGATTGTCCCGTCGTAGTGCCTTCTCTTATGTCCCCCAAGCGCCTGCCCTGTCGGAAACGTCTTAAAACAAATCAAGCACTGGTGAACCCTCCCGCCGGAGACTAAAGCCGTAGGTCCCGCGGAGAGGCGATCATCGGCGGTAGAGGAGAGGGATTTCCTGTGGCTGGCCATGTGGCCGCCTAGGGCATGGTAGGAGGCGAAAGACTTGTTGCAGAGCGAACAGGGGTGGCCGCCGGTGCGAGAGAGCATGAGGAGGCACTGGGCGATGTATTCATCATCATCAGATGAAGGCGATTCGAGTAATTCGTGTTGACGCTTGGACCGTTTCCTCTTCGTCAACCGATTGAATTGTAGGATTTGGTTGCAGTCGCCGGAGTTGCTCTCTGTTCTCGCCGGCGACTGAGGGGAATCGCTCGATTTTGGCTCTGTAGCTTGAACTGCCATGGATTTTGAAGCTGGTAGACAGAGAGGACGGATTTGGAATATTTCTTGAGCAAGTATTTGGGCTCCTGAGAGTGATGGACTGATGAGTAAACGCCATGGCTTATTTATAGCCATGGCCAAAGGAAGGCTTCCTATAGATATAGAAACTTTCTTAAACCCTAAGTCAAATTAGCATTACTTTATGTGCTTTAATTTGTATTATGCAATTTATAAGCATAATATCAATAATATATATATAATAAACCTAATAAACTTCATATTTTATATCCTTAATTTTTTGGTTTAAAATGTAAATTTAAATTTAATTTAAATTTTTGGCTAATTATTTTTTGAAGAATGAGAGTATTTTTTTTTGGAACCGAGTATTTATCTCATTTACAAACATAAAAATCAACATAATAAAAATAACAAAGAGTTCATTGATTGAGGGTATATTTGAAAAACTTTCTTACTCTTGTGTTTTTCAACATTATTTTCTTTAAAAAAAAGTATGATAAAAAATTATTTTTAAAAAAATGAAAATTATTAATATGGTATAGCTTCAAAAAATATATATATTTTTAAATTATAATATTCAAAATAATTTTTCAAAAAAAAATTATTTTTTTATAATAGTTTTACAATCTCTTTATGGCAAGGAAAGAGTCGACATAGAGTATAGTAGAAGAGGGTAAAGTGATGGTTTATTAGGTTCTATATGCAAAGTGGGAGTAAGTCAAAGGTTGGAATTAAACAGTTTCAAATAATTATTTCGAATAATTGCATTTATGCCATTTGTCATTGTCTCAAAGATTCCAATATTTCATTTATAACCTTCAGAGCTATACTTTTATGGCATGAAAGCAACCCTCCTGATGCTCAGCCGGCTCATGCCTTTATCACTAATCACTCGCATCATTTCACATTAATATATATAAATATATTTAACTTCACAAGATTAAGCTTTATATTTCAAAGAAATACCAAGAATAACCTTTTCTGATGAGAATAAACTTCTAAGAACTACTGTATACTGCATGAATATATAAGAAATCAAGTTCATGCATTTACTTCATCATTTTCTATAACTTAGTTATGTAAATTTTTTTCATATCTAAGCAGGGACAAAACCAGCCTTAAAGATTTCACATATATGACGGAGTCCAAGGGGTCAACGCCCCCTCGCAGGATTCGACCTTGCGGGATCAAAGGACATCGCCTCTGAAACAAATTTTGGTTATAAGGATATTTTTGGATTAATTTTTACTGTTTCTCTTTATTTTTTGTTCATCGTTCCCTAACAATAACGCCTCTATATAATGTGTTTAATTATGCTGGGGGCAATTGCCTAAAGACCATAATATTTTAAAACTTTTAAAGGGGGAGAATTGCCTAAAAAATCCTTGTAAGAAAGACTAAAACATATATGACGGTGGACAAATTACATAAAAAATCATATAATAATTTTTTTAAGGTTCCGCCCTATCTAAGAGCGAGAGGCATCCCAATAAATAAACTATCCAATAACAAAATTTAACTCATTATGATAAAAATTAATCACCATTAAGTTGGCTCAAAATCAAATATTTGAAAAATTAATCCATCTAATGATTACCAAGAGTCTTTATCCCAAAAACATTTGTTGGTATATTGTAAATGAATTTTACTTTATAATTTCATATTATATGATTTATTCTATTATGAAGTCATGATTATAACTTTTCAGATTATTTGAATATGGCCAATAAAAAATTAATGGATCATCACTAATATGAAATGTTCATAATAATAGCTACAAATTTTGATTCACAATTGTTTTCTTATGGGCTCTTTGAAACTCTTTTTGTTCTATGAATATATCTATTTAAGATTATTAAAACATTATAAATTCATATTGCAAAAAAAAAAAAAATAATAATATGGGGGCAAAGTCAAATTAGATGTTTAAGCTTAACTGATTTGTCTCAGTGGCCCCCAGCTCAGTTATTTTGGGGACATTAATTGTTTACTTAATCAGCCAAATAATACAAATATCTAAGAGCCAATTGGCCTAATAATATGACACAAACTATAGCAAATGCATGGCTGTCATGTCAAATAAAACAAAGCCAAAACTGAATTTTTTTTTATATAGCATAAATTAGAAACTATGCATATGCTTTGGGTAAAAATATATCATCTTTAGAATTTTTTTTTAAAAGATTTATCTGTAATGACATATGATACAACAACAACATCAAACCTTTATCCCACTACGTGGGGTCGGCTACATGAATCCTTTTTTCTCCATTGTATCCTATTAAAAGTCAAATTCTCGTTTAAATCTAATAAAGAAAGGTCATTCCTAATATTTTCTAACCAAGTCTTTTTAGGTCTACCCCTACCTTTCTTAACACAAGTCAAATCTAATACCTCTACTCTCATAACCGGGTCATCGGATGGCCGCCTTTTTATGTGACCAAACCATCTAAGGCGACTCTCTCTAATCTTATCTTCTACTGGAGCTACTCCAACCTTTTCACATATATGCTCATTTCGTATCCTATCTCTAAGGGTAAAGCCACTCATCCACCTGAGCATCCTCATTTATGCCACACTTAGTATTATGCTTCTTTTTTAATGGCCAATATTCGGCACCATAAAGCATTGTAGGCCTCACCACCATCTTAATGACATATGATAATTTGATAAAATGGATGAAATTTTAAATTAAAAAAAGTGTTATCATGTAATCTAATTGCAAATTAAAATGTTTTGTAGATAATTTTCATGCACAATAATTCTATGGTACTTTATATAAAATGCTAATTCAAAATTTGAATAAAGCATTATATATAAAAGAGAATCTCAGCCTGTCCAATCATTAATTCTCTGCCATTGATCATAATATTCTGATCACTCTTTTTCATTAAGATAAATCTTAAATTATTTGATTTACTTTGAGATGAATACAATATAAAATTTAATTAATGTTCTATATATTATATTCAATTCAAAATAATATAAAATTTATTGTAACTGAAATTTAATTATAACATTTTCACTCAAATATTGTCCTTTAATAAATACAATCATTCCTACTTGTGAAGCTAAAACCATTTCTCCAAAATGCTATAGCTACAGGGCTGGAATCAATCTTCTTTTGAGGATGGATGAACTCATTATACGAATAACTAAATACGAATAACTCATATAAAGTCTTATATTGCATTATAATTGATGAATTGAATAATAAATATAAACTTTGCAATCTATTTTGTATTTTCTGCAGCCACAACGAGAGGTTCACGATTCCACCGATTAAACCGGCCGGCCAGGTTTTAAAAGCTCTTAAAAGAAAAAAAAAATACAATAAATTTAAAAATATATAAACCAACTTGAAATGCTATATATATAAATAAAATAAATCTGGCATTCACACATGTAATAATGCATAAGATACAAACTTCTTATCACTATAGATGAATACTGAAAGCCACAAACTGCATTCAAAATAGGAGAAGTTGAAGAATGAACATACCGTCAAGCTCCGTTTACGAGAACAAAAAGTGGAATGTCTCCTAATTTCTCCCGACCCTGCAGTAATTATAATGCAGAAGTTTCTGAGGAAATTATACGTAACAATAAAATGGATTGGAAAAGAACAAATAATAAAAGGGTCAGAATATCCCAATGCAGTGAGTACCACAACGTTAACTTCTTTTCGTTGCTACTGTTTTTACTCTTTATTTAATGATTTCATATTTCTTGAGCAGATCTAAGGGAAAAAGTATCCAAAAGATCTTAGTGGTGAAACTATTTCTTTTAGTTTAAATAGATCACAGGCTTTCATGCACTTCGAGTTTGATTGAGCAAATTTCAATTTATTTGATTGAAGATTAAAGAATTTAATTTGTCTAATGATTCTACATCATCTTTTAGGGATTTTAACAAAGCAATTATTATAATTCACAACCTACTAAACCCTCCATCAATGTCTCTATTAATTTGTAGCCAATGAGATTATTTTCATTATGAAATTTGTGAATTTTACTAACTATTATTGGTGACATGTAAGAAGAATGTAAAAAAGCATACACTCTACCTAGCAACTCCTTATGCAATATACTTAGATTAATATGCATAACTAAATAAATTATTCAAATTTATTAAAATTCTTATCAATAGTCGTCTGTGCTCAGTATGTGGAACTAAACCCCCAATATGGAGGGAGCTACCCAGGCCCCCGACGTTAAAAGCTCAATTTTGTTTATTCTAATCCCTTCTCTTTGTGTAAAATTTGGACTGTCCCAAGCACTATTGCGGTCGGCTTATACATTCTCTTCAATCCAGAGAGGTCGGCCCATGCTTCTATAATCTATGCAAATAATAGTAATTAATAATAAAAGAAGTTTGATGATCATATTCTTAGATTAATTGAACTAGAAGAAAAAATTCTCATATGTTTTTTATGGGTATTGAAAGAGATGGAGAAGTGGAGCAAGAAGGGGAGGATGTAAAAAGAGAATTCACTATTGAAGAATACGGGCAAGGATGAGTTTGTCGATCATGGCTTTCGATCGAGGAATGAGAAGGCATGGAGGGGCTTTTTTGTTGGCAGATGTGAGGGAGAGGTCGAGAGGGAGGGAGACATCAAAAAGGCTTTGGCGGTTGTGGAGGAAGAACATTAAGGGTAAGGGCACATATCCAATTTGAGATATTTTTGAAGAAAGAGAAAGAGGATGAGAGAAATACGAAGGAAGAGAAAGAAAAAGTGGATTTTGGGTGACTTTGGTCCGTTTTCGTCCGTCGCCGTAGTTGGGAAAGTTGATCGACTCGAGGTAAGGCACATTATGCCTTTCTCAATTTTCAGAAATGTGATTTTTGACGGAATTCTTGTTACGATTTTCGTTTACGTTAGCCTAAAAGTGATTTATCTTTGTATTGACGAAACTTTTACCGCGCAACTTTTAGTATGTTGTAGAGATGATGTTTTTGCACATTTTGAGTAATTTCTAGAAAGTTTTCACCAGGTAGTTTGAATTCTGCGGAGTTTTTATCGAATAGAAAATTTTTTGGATGTTGAAAAATATTGCTTCAGTACAATGAAAGTCTTGAAATGATATTTTCTACGATCTCTCGTAATTTTATAATTTTCTAAAACTGTGAATTTTGTTCTGTTGAATTTCCGTTGTTTGTCGTTATACTCTCCGACGATATTCTGATACGAATCTGATTTCTCTGAATCTGATGTGATTTGATGTTCGATGTGAACGATATTCTGATACGAATCTGATTTCTCTGTATCTGATATGATTTGATGTTGATGTGCTGTGATATGAGAAGGGAGTTATAAGGGGCCGGAATCCTTTGAAATTTTGTCTGTGTCAGAGAAGGGAGGTATAAGGGGCCAGAATCCTTTGAGATTCTGTCAGGGTCCGGGAATCTGAAAAATGAATTCTGATCTGATAATTTTGTATATCTGATATGTTCTGGTGCTGTAAGCACAAAGGGAGGCATAAGGGGCCATAATATTTTGAGATTCTGTCTGTGTCAGGGAAGGGAGGCATAAGGGGACAGAATCCTTTGAGATTCTGTCTGGGTCAGGGAAATCTGTGATGAAATGTGATTTGAATGTTTTCTTAAATCTGTTCTGAACTTTGATTTGAATTCTAATTTGAATAATTCTGTGACATAAATTTGATTCAGTTCTTCTGTCTCTGTTACTTCATTTGTTCTGAACGAATATAAGTATTCTGTTTGATTTCTATTTTGTGTGAATCTCTGACCTATGTCTGATATTCTGATTGTTGTACGATTATCTAAATTCTATATGGCAAATGTTTTTAACGCCTTCATGCGTAATTTGATATGAGAGTTTCTGGAGATTTTGATTGGCTAGTGTAGTCTTGCTGAGCTATTAGCTCATCCTTGTTATCTGCGTGGTTTTCAGGTTCTGGGAAAGGGAAGGAGGTGTTGGAATAGCCGTTCTGTGTCTGATCTGAGATTAGGTATTTTTGTACTTTTGATTTTTGTACGGTCATGGCTATTCTGTTCTTCTGTCCTGTTCTTTCTATTTATAGCCATGCATTGTATTGTACATGATTATTTTGAAGAATGAGAAGAAAGAAAATGATTGATGAATTGCTGTATATTAGAAGTTTATAGTAACTCTGTGTTTTCTGTATTATTATTTGAAAGAAAGTCTAAAACCAAATTCCAAAGCTAGATCCTGGATTCATCCGTCGCCACTCAACGCGATGGGATTCATTCCGGTCGGGTTGGTCGTGACATTCTTAGATGAATTGAACTAGAAGGAAAAATTCTCATATGTTTTTTGTGGGTATTGAAAGAGATGGAGAAGTGGAGCAAGAAGGGGAGGATGTAAAAAGAGAATTCACTATTGAAGAATACGAGCAAGGAAGAGTTTGTCGATCATGGCTTTCGATCGAGGAATGAGAAGGCATAGAGGGGCTTTTTGTTGGCAGATGTGAGGGAGAGATCGAGAGGGAGGGAGACATCAAAAAGGCTTTGGCGGTTGTGGAGGAAGAACATTAAGGGTAAGGGCACATACAAAGGTAAAGGTAAAATTCCTGATGAGATGACCTATGTCATAGCCTAAAGGCATTCCCGATCCTAGACAAACCATCGTCCATGATACCACATTTTTGGGATTGTCGACAGGGGCGGATCCAGCTTCATTTTTCAGGGTGGGCAAAATTTTACTTAATTAAAATAAAAATAATATTAATAATAAAATTATTATTTTTAATTTAATCAATATAATGCTATCAAATTTATAAGATGAATTAAAAACTTAAAAAAAAGAAAAAAATTTCTCAAGAGCGTTTAAAACAGAACATCTAAAAAAATAGTTGAATTAGATAAAGGTTACCTTCAAATTGAAGCAAAGATTGAAGGCTTTAATCAAACCGAAGGCTGCAAAGAATGGCAACCTCTTCAAACCACCGAGAAGAGTGCCAAGAAGAAGATGAGGGCTAAGACGCGGACGAAGAAGAAGGTTATGGCTGCCTGCGAAGTGCGAAGCCGAAGGTAAAGAAGGGCGAAGACAAAGGCTGGAGTAGGCAAACGCGATTTGCGAATCGTTCGTCTTTCAAACTTCGGGAGTCGAGATGGGCATAGAGTCACAAAATTACTTAAAGTAGGGTAAAATTTATTTTTGAGGGGGGTCAAATTTACAAAAGTATCTCTCTAATGCATTAAAAAAATTTTTTTAGGGTGGGCATTTGTCCACCCTGAGGTGAACTAGGATCCGCCCTTGATTGTCGATCAAAGAGATACTAATGCTAAGTCTAATAAACTAGCGGTCAAACCCATTACAATCCACAAGCTAAAGCATATGAGTGATGCAACCAATTGTTATTTCTATCCAAACATATTATTTAACTATCGAATGTGAATGTGAGAGTAAACTCATTCTTCCAAGTGTTATGCTAACATTGAGAACTCTTACTATATAACAAATGTTCCTTGAACATACATCTAAAGAAAATATCATTTTTCCACTAATATTAAGATCTATATTCCAGAAAGAATGCAAGCTAGGGAATAGATCAACCTCTATGAAGGGCTTGCATGAAAAGACTTCGTGAGCCATAAACAACAATGGGGACACACTTAAAGCAGAAATCATAAGTAACGATCAAAGAGCAACAACTTCGTTTAATCGGACAAATTCGACAATTAACGAAGAGTCGGAGATCATGCGAAGTCGAAGATTAACAGAGAACATGAAGTAGGCAAGGTCGTTGAGCAACGAACAGGTCGGCCGAAGTCGAAGATGAATAATCGAACCGAGAGAGGCGAAGGTGACGAACCATCGGAGGCTAAGGAAGAGAGTTCGAGCAACGAACCAGCAGAGGCTAAGCCGAAGAGCAACAAACAAGCCGACATGAAGTAGCGAAGTTGAAGAGGAACAAAACGGCGGAGTGAAGTCGAAGAACAGAGAGCCAAACTACGCAAATGAAACGAATGGAGAATGAATCAGTTAGCTAAGGTCATCTTGCGGCGGCAATTTTCACCACAAATTTGCGGCAAATTTTTAGTCGTAAATCCACCAAAAAAGTCATCCAAACTTTTCTGCGAAAATCTCTACCGCAAATCCGTCTTTGTCCGCCGGAAATCTTTTTTTTTCCTATAGTGACATAAGACGTCGGCCTTCCGATGCCCAATTAGGAGAGTATGTATTAGATTTGACCAACATTAAGAAAGATGTAGACCTAACAAGTTTTGGCTAGAAAATATTAGAAATGACATTTTTTTATTAGATTTAATTGAGAATTTGATTCTAAATAGGACACAATGGAGAAAAATATTTCAAGTAGCCGACACCATGTAGTGGGAAAAAGGCTTGATGTTATTGTTGTTGAAGAGTTTTCAGGAGATTTGTAAAATTTGAAATTGAAATTAGGGTCTTAATTATATCCAATCATGAATTTAACAAACATCATTGTTTAACAAAACATGATTTGTAACTTCAAACAATCAAATTAGTCCTAATATTAAATTTACAACAGTAAGTTCAAGCACTAAGATGCTTCAATGTTGCCTTCTTAATCATAACATTGTGGAAAATCAAAAGGCATTATGATTAGGAAAAAGAAGCAGAAAAGGTCGGTCAAGATCTCAAAGTTTCATACTGAAAGCAAAGTAAATAGCTTACCTTCAGCTCTGGCAACTCAATGACACAGGCACATTCAACCACTTCCGCACCAACACGTTCTGGAAGTACAATTGTAGCAGTAAGTTTCACAAAATGCGTTATAAATAGATGCATTAAAAAATAACGGGATTTAATCGTTATGTTCAGACCAATTTTATGAACAAAATTTTCCACAAACTAATGCTGATTTGTGATTCCTAAACTAACACTAAGCAATAATCTGTGATTCCTAAACTATTGCATTACTTCTCATGTTATTAGCATTTACCATTTCATAATCATCATCATCAGCCTTATCCCATCTAATTGGAGTCAGCAAGCTTTTTCCATTTAAGCACTAAAAAACTAACACTAAGCAATAATCTGTTAAACCAGCACAGACTTTGTATGAAAAGATAATTTTGAATTAACCTGACTACACAGAATTGGCGATAGGTTATAATACAAAAAATTGCAGAACACAATAAATAGGATGGAATATAAAAAATTTACACCACAAAATAATTTATTATCATCAATGGAAATAGTGGCCTATCCTAGCAAGAGTCAGCCTGTGAATTCATCTGTTCCAATATCCCTGCATTATGGAAGCACTCATCTTACTTCTACCTTAGCTGATTCTTCGTTATTTCAAAACGTGCTAACTTTGCCCTACAACAAGACTGATGAGGACATCTAATAATCTAGGATTCTAATACAACAAATTATGTGATGAAATCCAAACAATCATGAGTTAAAATTCATAGTTTAAAGGCTTCAATTTGGGCTTTGTTTAGAACAGCTTTCTAGTATAATTTTTTTTATTTTTATACTAAAAAGCTACTTTAAAAAACAGTAAGAAAGTATTGCCAAACAAAACCTTAGCCAATCACTTGTTTTTGAAGAAAAATACATAGAAACCCTCCCAAATGTTAAATTTGAAGATTGATTAAATAGATGAAATTCAACCAGAAATTTAGAAGATCGACCTTAGCCAAAAGGGACCCGATCTAACAATCAAGCATCTTTAAAAGCCAACAAGTATGACTATTTTAGCGGTGTTACTGAGAGATGCATATATATTTAACAACTATTTCAAATTTTTTCATCTTTATTATAATGAGATCTACATAAGTTTGTGAATTTTAATTAAACCGATTATGTGGTAGCCAATTTAGTGATTGATGATAATGAATATCAAAATCTAAGGTATATAAAAGAACAAGCTTTGGCTTAATAAAAAAATTCAATTCATTTAAATCAAACAAATGCTTGGTTAAATGTATATTCCTTCAAGCGTGGTGTAAGTGTGAGTTCCAATATCTAGAAGTCATTTCCATGTACCAGCATGAGATTTGAATTTTTTAATTTTGTTATCTTTTATTACTTCCATTTAATTTAAGCTTAGTTTTTTAAGCATGACTAATTTTAGTCAAAATCAATACAAATGGGTTTTATAATTGCAGCAAAAGGCTTAATCGTAAACTTTTATGTTTCAATCTTTAAATTTCCATTTGAGAAGGATTATATGTAATTTTTGTTTGCATCAGGAAAATGATTATCCAAGTTAATAGCATTTAAATTGCAAATCTTAACTCATGAGTATCAGTACATGCTTTTTAATAGGCATATGGACAATATTCTTGTCCTTCAATAGTTTGAAAATTTTTTCATATCAAAAGAGAGCCGCAGAATAGAATTCCTATTAGATTCAAAAAGGTCTGGATAGCAAAAGGTGCCTTCCCCGAAAAATGCAGATACTAATTAGCACGCAATTGATAATATTAATGTAGCTCAAAATGAAGGCAATTTACCAAGTAGCTTGACTGCTGCGCGTAAGGTCCCTCCCGTTGCAATAAGATCATCAATTACAATTGCCCGATCAGTAGGCTGAACAGCACCAACATGCATCTCAATTTTATCTGCACCATATTCGAGTAAATACTCTTCTGAAATGACTTCACCTGTGAAAACAAGATGATCAACAATTATTCTCATTTTCAACATGCTTAAGAACCCTGAATTCATGAAGAATACAAGTCGCCAATACAATTTGATCACTTCAGTGTTGCCTTCATATAAGGCCGATCAAACTAAAAGGTCTCCAAGAAAGGCTCAAAACAGTAAAAAGTACTTAAAAATCAGTATGATTTCCAAAAAGTTGCAACCTTAATTTTTCAATGAACAAAAGTTGATCTTATTAGAATGTAGCTATCAAACATCGGTGAGCCATAGAAAAGCCTAGTGTAAGAGAAGGGGCATGTAGAATACATTACATCAGAAAACTAATACTTCTACACCACAAAACAAATCTTACATCAATGCTATGGCAAACAGAAGATCCGAAACTGCACCAAGGTTCTGATTGTATAGTCCATAAAGAAAAGCATAGAAACCGCTTACATTTCTAATTTGAAGAAAGAATATCGAAATACCAATTGAATGTATGTGTTATGGAATATTAATTTATTTTGTTCAACGAACAGCAGCAAAAGAATCAAGATATTGGGCCATTTAGGATGAAATAAAGCAGTTGACAATGGCCACCTGTCAAGATAAAAAATAGCTTCCTTCAATTGAGATCAATCTATTAAATTACACAGTAACAGAAAAAGAAATATATATATATATATATATAGTTTCGGTGAAAGCTATCAACATGTCTTATATATGGTGAAAGCTATCAGCATGTCTTATTACTTAGCGAATCAGCTCCTATAACCGTAGATTTGGAAAGACCCGAGGAGATATGATCTGGTTATTTTACTAATTATTCTCACGTCAATTTTTTTGGTTCCTTGAATGCTAATGTTTCAGGAGATAAGTTAAAGTCACGGGAAGAGAACTACACTTTCCTATGATCAAACTAAGACAAAAAAAGCTGAAGCTCTCAGAAGAAAATGTAGTGCAAAAGGAGACAACAGAAGATCAAACTAAGATTAACCTCTCAAAGAGCAGAACAATACAGCAACATGTCCCTAGAGTCAGTACAACATTACTAAGAGCAGAGAGTCTAGGGTAAGCAGCCCTCCATGCAGGTAAAAACATGCTGATATGGTAGATTATGCGTTGCCTATTGTAGTTAATTTAATTAAACCATAGTCATGTCCTGATAGAAAGGTTGTAGCAATGATGAATCCTCTAGTGGCATCTAACCATGTAAAGGAGACTAGGTCTCTCCATAAGAACAAGACATGCAGTGATGCTTGGTTAGAAGATTGTAAGGTGCAAGTGGGTCTTGCAGACAAAAGGAAAATATCCCTTGAGTGGAGGACACTAGATTCAAAGCATAAGCAGCGACAAAGCATTTTATTCAATGAGAAAGCATGGGCTTTGACTGCAATGAGATATTCTCTCCTATTGTTAAACATACTTCTATTTATGCATTATTTGTCATTGTACCTCTATCCGAGCAGGAGTTAAAACAACCTAATGTAAAGATGACACAGTGAGCTTGAGAAGGAATTCTACATGAATTTACCAAAATGATTCTTGGTTTTCGGTAAGTAAGATCATGTGTGCTTGCTTAAGAAGTCTTCATATGGCTTGAAGCAATCTCCTTCACAATGGCATAAAAGATTTGATAAATTCATCCTAGGTTAGAAATAATCTAGAAATGACCATGCCAAATGTGTATAACATAGGAAGTTCCTACATGGATCATGTATTTATATGTTGTTTCATGATGATGACATGTTGATTACAGAAGAGAACATATTAGAGATATATTAATTAAAATTTCAATCAAGTTAGTTCAAGATGAAAGATCTCAATGCAAACATGGCATGGAGAAACACATGATCCGAAGCATTGAGAAAGTTATACTTATCACAAAAGAACATGGAGAAATCTTGGAATGACTTGACATGAAAAATAGCTGGCATGATAGTACTCCACTGTCAGTCCATTCAGTTATCCATAAAATAGTCACCAAAGACTAAATGAGAAAAGGAATAGATGGCTCAAATTCCTTACATCAGCGAAGTTATCAGTATTATGTTTATTATTATATGCGCTCGCCTAGATATATTTCATGTTATGAGTGTTATTAACAAGTAAATAGGAAATTTAAATGTTATATGAGGAGAGAAACTGGTTTTGAGGTAAATTGTTATGTTAGTGTAAGTTGATTTTATGCAATTTATTTGAATAATAAATTGTGAAAATTATAGAATTAGAGAGGTGAATTGTAGGTAATTATAGGTTTTCATCCATGGACTGAAGGCTCTCATCCATATATAACCGCTTTGAAAATGTGAAAGATATGATGAAGAAAACGATCAAGATGTAATTGAAAGCTCCACCAGTGATTCATAGGGCTGAACCAAAGGGAAGAGAAATTCTGGAGGAGATGATGAGAAAGCTTATGGAGATGCGATCCAAAACCCCACTGACGGGTCTGATTGCTAATCCAAATTAAGATTTGATCGGAATTCCCTTAGCCAAATCTAAAGGGAAAGAGATCAGACAGGAAGAGTTCGACGAAGAGAGCTTTTATTAAGAGCCACCTCTTAGGGCTTTGATAAGGGAGGAAGTAGGGTTCTTTGCTAGGGGGACAGCATGAAGGGAGTTTTATGGTGAAGGTGTTAGGGTGACCGACCACTATGGGAGGTTGTTTGGGCAATGGTAGTGGACTAGCCAAGCCATGGGAATCGGATCATGGGAGGAGAATGGAAGAAAGGTGAGATTCCCACCCTCCATACCCAGGAGAAACATGGAGGGATCACGACAACCGCTACACTGGAGGATGAAGAAGCTTTGGGTGCAGTTAGTGTGGATCGAACACGCGACTTTATGCTACTGTTGTTGCCTTTGGAGCACCATATCACCCTAATCTCCAACCATTAAACTTGTTTCCTCCATAGTTTGGCATTGGCGAAGTCACCGTGAATGCTTCGCTTCTACCACCCTTATATTTGTGTTATGCTTCTTATAATGCTATTCAGATTCCTTATGAAAATTCCACGGGCTCTAACTATGATACGAGGCCTTCCGGTGTTCCCTCCAGAGGAAATGTTGTTCCAGGGTATTATGGAAAAATGGGACAAATGGTGGTTGCAACTCAACATCCATATATGGAGCCAATGTATGTGTCTTATCCTCAGCATCCTTCCACACATGCATATGCTAGTCAAGGTCAATTTGACCAGCAGCTCTCAGGGAAAGTGCTATTGGGAGTTCTCCAGGTTTTGATCCACAGAAAGGTTCATTACCTTTTACTTATTCATCTGATCAGAGCTCTCATGTCCTAAGATCTGGAGTTGTTAACTCTCCAAGTATCAGGAGGGGAGGAACTGCTAATTCAATTTTTTTTTGGGAATTTCGCCAACCTTGGCCTCTTCATGCAATATCCAATTTCTCCCCTTACCAGTCCTGTTTATCCAGGATCACCTTTGGCTAATTCAGTAACTTCTGGTAGAAGAAGTGAGAGAAATAGGTCATCTGGTAGCTCTGTTAGGGGTGGAGGTGCATATCCTGGGAAGGCAAAATATTGAATGATAAGATTGATGATTCAAAATTGCACTCATTTATTGAAGAGTTGAAATCCAGTAAGTCCCGTAGATGAGTTATCTTAGCTGGACACATTGTCAGAGTTCAGCGCTGAACAACATGGAAGTCGTATTATTCAGCAGAAGTTGGAAAGCTGTAGTGCTAAAGAGAAGGCATCTGTCTTTCAAGAAATTCTTCCACATGCTTCAACATTAATGACTGATGTATTTGGGAATTATGTTATCCATAAGTTTTTTGAGTATGGAAGTCCTGAGGAGAGGAAGGAAGTTGCAAATCAGCTTGTCGAGCATGTATTTCCATTGAGCCTTCAAATGTAGGGTTGCCGAGTGATACAAAAGGCACTTAAAGTGATTGAATTTGATTAGAAAACACAGCTTGTATTTGAGCTTGATGGGCATGTTTTGCAATGTGTTTGTGATCAAAACGGAAATCAAGTAATTCAGAAGTGAATTGAATCTGTGTCTACTGAGAGAATTGGTTTCATCATTTCTGCTGTCCAGGGACATGTTTCTACACTCTCTATGCATTCCTATGACAGCTTTCTTCTGCAATCTGGAAATACAATCTTTATATGGCAAGGGACATCAAGCACGGTTGAGCAACATCATTGGGCCACAAACATTGCAGAATTTTTTAAGCCTAGGGCTGGATTAAACATGCAGAGGGAACAGAGAGTTCTGCTTTTTGGTTCGCTCTTGGAGGAAAACAAAGTTTTTCCAGCAATAAAGTTGCGACAGATATTGTTAGAGATCCCATTTGTGCATGCTCTCCTTTTTCAACATTGAGCAAGATGATCTGTTAAGCGAGGATAGGTGGATACTTGACACGCATTCTGAGGTTTTTACTTGGATTGGTCAGTGTGTAGAAACCAAGGACAAACAAAAGGCATTTAATAAATGCCAGAAATACATAGAGTTTGCAGTGTTCTTAAAAGGTCTAGCTTCAGATGTGCCCCTTTATAAAGTCACGGATGGTAATGAGCCCTGCTTCTTTAAGGCATATTTCTCCTGGGATAGTGCAAAGGCTGCTGCCCATGGAAGTTCTTTTGAGAAGAAGCTTGCAATCTTGTTCGGGACAATTTTTCATGCTTCAGATTCTAAGGATAAATCAAATAATGCAAGTGAAAGTGGACCCACTCAGAGGGCATCAGCTTTAGCAGCATTGTTATGCATTTGATCCTCATTTCAAATCAAAGCCTACCAACCCAATTCCAGTCCGTATAACTAAGGGTAGTTCTCAAAGAGCAGCTGCCGTTGCTGTCTTGTCTTCTGTACTAACAGCAGAACAAAATAAAGCACAAGGTGAAGGAGCTACTCACCGCCCCACTCACCCAATTATGTTTAATTGTTAAGGAATGTTTCTTAAATCATATTTAATTGTTTAAAAGGTTTCCTAAATTATATTTAATTTTTGGGGAAGGTTTTTTAAATTATGTTTAATTATTTATGAAGGTTTCCTAAATTATGTTTAAATTATTTAGGAATATTCTATTTATGTTATTGCATTCTAGGACTATTTAAGGGGGGAGTTGTTTAGGGTTAAATTTATGATATTGTTGAATTTATTTTTCTAGTGTTTGTTGTGAATTTCTAACGGAATTTAGGGTTTGTGGGAGAGTTGTACCTCTCAAATAGTAGTTTAACTATATCTTGCTTTATTATTGAAGAAGAAATTAAAAAATCAGCCCTATCTTAGTGATCTTAAGTTGTTCTTCTCTTTTATTTGTTATTTTTATGTCCAAGGCGCATCAGAAACCTAGCCACCTAGAGAACTAAAAAACAAGCTGTAGTTGCTAGAAGTAGTATTGAAGCATATTCAGGGCCACAACTAACGAAATTTATAAGGAATGTGGCTAAAAAAATATTGGAAGACCCAAATATTCATATTAATTAAGCCATGAAAATAATGTGAGATAATTAAACTCAATTAACATAGCTAAAAATCAAGTTCACCATAATAGAACTAAACATGTTAAAATTAATAGATATTTTATTAAAGAAAAATTTGATCAAGAGATTATTCAAATACAGTATGCTCCAATAAAACTTTTGAAAGTCAATATCCTTATCAAAACCTTTGATCAATGACAATTAGATAACTTAACTTCTAAGCTACGAATGATCAATTCTCAACTTGAGGGGAGCGTGAGAATTCTATTTAAAAAAACCCCGTTGTAGCTCACACTCATGTGTTATATCAAAAATCCATATGCTCCGATTAAATCAACAACAAAATAGTAGTCCACCTCAACAATTTGTTACAATTTGTTCTTTCACATATGACTCCCATTGATTACTCCTTAATAATCAAATACATATGATTTGTATATTCGAACATCTATAAATATGTACCTCTTCTATGGATGAAATAATGGCATAAGATTCAAGTTCTTTTCTTCTATTTCTTATCTCTTAATTTTTCGCAATTTCATTTCACAAGCCATGATATATAATGGCAATCATATGAGGTTCAATCTTCATGTGGCAACCAAACATCGTCATATCCAAATAAAAGTATAGACCTTCATTGAGTTTATCACCAATGAACCTGCAATAACTTCCCACCCGCTATGATTGCCATTAAGATTTATTTACACGAGGATCTTAATTTTGGATTCCAAACCAAGATTCGTGTTTGCACTTTGGGAACTTCCAACTTAAAAAACTAAGGTAAAACATTTTGTTAAAAATATTAAAATTCACTAGAAAAACATAAGATTTAATATCCCCTATTTTCAGCAACTCATGCCAGTACATCAGATTTAAACTTTGGGAACTGCCATACACTGAGGTAAATCATTATAATAAATGTGACAAAATTAACGAGACAAAATTAGATTTAGCATCTCTATTCTCAATAGCTAATACTAGACTAGGCATATGTAATAACTGTTTCAACAAAACACAGTTGAACTAGGAATAAGGCAGGATACTTTAAGGGAAATACTTGCCTTACTGTATATCCATACATATCAAACAGTCCCACCTAAGACACAAAATTAAAAGAATAAACCTGTTACCTGGTAACTTCTTTGGTTTTCTCAAAGGTACAAACTTTGCACCAATAGCCAGGGCAATGGGTGGGCCAAAGATGAAGCCTCTTGCTTCAACACCTGCACAAGTCAGACAATCATAACAAAGAAAAGTTGCACTGAATGAACGTAACGGAGCACCATTCACTGTGCAATTAAAAAGAAATTATATCAAAAAACACCTAGAATTTCTAATACAATTAAATGACGTAATGAATAAAAATTACCCCATGGAATTTGAAACATTTAAAGATTGAAATAATAATAGAGTATGTATATCTTTTGTACAGTTTCTTTTTGACTAATCAAGTTCACTTGAAGAGATAAGTCTCAAATAAGATTAAATGTTCTTGTTTCGATTATTTCGGCCTCACCTTCACTTAACACTAGGTTGGTGTAGATCAGTGCTCTATTATTATGACTGTCCAAATACATAGTTTTAGACAACTTGTACATATCAAAGACAATAAGGAATAGTCAACAACAACAAGCCTTTATCTCACCATGTAGGGTCAGCTACATGAATCATTTTTCTTTATTGTGTCCTGTTAAGAGTCAATTTCTCATCTAAATCTTATAAAGAAAATTCATTTATAATATTTTCTAACCAAGTCTTTTTAGGTCTACCTCTACCTTGCATAATATAAGTCAGATCTAATGCATCTACTTTCCTAACCAAGTCATCAGAAGGCTGACGTTTTATGTGATCAAATCATATAAGGCGATTCTCTCTAATCTTATCTTCCATTGGAGCTACTCCAACCTTTTCACGTATATGCTCATTTCGTATCTTATCTCTAAGAGTAAAGCCACTCATCTCTGCAACACTTAACTGAATATTATGCTTATCTTTTAATGGTCAGCATTCTACACCATAAAGCATTGCAGGTCTCACTACATCTTATAGAATTTTCTCATAAGTTTGAGAGGGACTTTTCTATCACACAACAAGCACGATGCATTCCTCCACTTCAACCATCCAACTTGAATTCTACTAATAGTATTCCCATCTATTTCATCATCACTCTGAACAATAGATCCCAGATATCTAAAATGTTTACTCTTATTAATGAATTGATCGCTCAAAGTCACAATCCCTCACTAGATCTATTATTACTAAAATTACACTCCATATATTCAGTTTTAGATCTACTCAAATAAAAGCCTTTAGACTCTAAGGTTGACCTCCATTATTCAAGTTTACCTTCAACTCCCTCTCTAGTCTTATCAACGAGAAGAATATATCGACAAAAAACATACACCAGGGTACAACTTGTTGCAAATGTCTTGTGAGAATATTCATGACTAAAGCAAAATGATATGGATTTAAGGCTGATCCTTGATGTAATCCAACTCCCTCTCTAGTCTTATTAACAATGAGGAATAGTCACGAAGAAAAAAAATCTATGAGTTCTTATCAAATGGAGGGAAAAGAATTAAAGTAGAGAACTCTTCATCCCAAAGAGATGCCAAGTAGGATTATATAGAGAATGACACATATATGTAAGATTTGAATAAAATTATATATAGTAAAGTAGTGATTGTTTTGCCTAAGAATTTCCGTGAATAAAAGGATTAAATCATTGAGTCAGTCGAGTAGTCCTAAAAGTACTCGGGCTATGTGATTTTTAAGTAGATTTGAAAGGTGAATTGCCAGGAAGAAACCCAAATAAATTGAGAGATGTTGAGCATTTCAGTGTTACTCTAAATTTTTAATTTCTTAGATATTGAGGCTACAGTGAAATTCTATATTGGCTTTGAAATAAAGGAGGCAACTTTCTTTCCCTTTATGTATAATTTCTGCTAAATGCTCACAACATTCATTGCGTGCGTTAGAAACACAAGATTCTCATAGAAGAAAATTGTTGTCAGAGAATAGGTGGAAGAGATCAGGATAGAAACTATTGATATCCAACTTTTACTAGAACAATGTAATTTTGAAGAGAAGAGTTAGGCTCAAGGTTGAGTAGACTCTTTGTCAGAGCTTCTTGAGATTGCTAAAAAAACTTGAAGAAAAATCACTAATAACATCACTATATGAAGACTAAATAGTTATCATGTGTAAACATTTTATATACTTCTTGTTATCTTTAGAATAGGAGCACATTCTTGAGCTCTGAGTCGATTAAGGTTGTTTGATGTAAGCAAGTCGTACCCCTCCTGCTTTGGGTTGTTCGGTTCCTGCTCCCTGCTGTCCCAATTCCCATTGCTTTGGGCTGTTCGGTTCCTGCTCCCTGCTGTCCTGATTCCCCTTGCTTTGGGCTGTTCGATTCCTGCTCCCTGCTGTTCCGATTCCCCTTACTTTGGACCGTTCGGTTCCTGCTCCCTGTTGTTCCGATTCCCCTTACTTTGGACCGTTCGGTTCCTGCTCCCTGCTTGGTTGTTCAGTTCCTCTGCCTAGGTCCCTCGATTCTTGTTTGTCCCGGTTCCTGGTTGTGGTGGTTTGGTTTATGGGAGCCTTAAATGCTACCTTTTTTTCTGTTTTTGGGTGTCCTTTGGGAGACTATTTGGGTGTCCTTTGGGCTACTTCTATCCTATTTAAAGAGGAGTTTTGGGCAGTTTTTAGAGGTTATGGACTTATTTTTGGAAAGAAAACCTAAGGGTTCTTCTTTGATAGTTTGCGAGCTATGTATATCTTCCTCTTCTCCTCTCTATAACTTCGTCTCGGGATTATTATCTCATTTTTCTCTCCGCAAGTTTCCACCCCCATTGTATCTTTCTTCTCAATCAATGAAAAGTTTTTAGGTGTTTTTATGTTCTAAGATTGTGTTTGTCATGTGAGTTGTATGTGTTGTCTGTTCTAATATAAGTAGTGTTTTGTCATATTTTATTATTGTGATTGTTAAAGTTATTTTGAAAGAAAGACAAGTCAATTTTATATACAATCTTAGTTTCCTATAATTTTGATTGCATCATTATTCTACTGGTGCGTTCTCCTTGTTAGATGACTTCGAGCTTTGCAAAACTATGATATACTTAAGGGAAAGTTGTTTGGTGACTTTTTTTTTTACATTTAGTCCAGTTAAGACAAACTCACACACACATCACATACGTAAGCTTTTAACCCATGACCTCTTGGTTGATAATCAAAGCTCTCAACCAACAGATTGAACATATCAAAGTGAGTTGCGCTCAAAGAGAATGCTTATTTTGATAAGTCAAAGCTTTTGGTGAGTGGGTTCACGTGTCGGCATCTTGGAGAAATATTCAGCCGGTTCATGGTAGCATTATGAGTTTGACTGACTTAACATAGCTGACTACGGGTGTACATATTTGTTTCCCATGATCTAGAATCCCACCCTTTAGATTATTTTCTCACTCTGTTTATTCACAAAATCACAGTCTCTTCATCATAACCAAGCAAAGCATCACTCTTCAAGCGTAAAAGAAATTTAAAAAAATATATATATTTAATCAGCAATAATTCAACAAATTTACCAGCAACAACAGAAATCCGCTGATCCCTATACCTCTCCACGAACAACTCCACAGCATCCCCAAACGCCTTGGGATCAAGCAGCAGCGTCGTAATATCCTGAAACATAACCCCTGCATCCCAACCAAAACCGCTAAGCCCGCAATTTTGAAAACGAACCCACCTTCAAAATCTCATCAAAAACTTATTACCCGGCTTGGGAAAGTCTGGGATGACGCGGATCGAGGATGCGATTTCCGCGATGCGATGCTTCCTTTCTAAAGACGCCATAAGCCTTGTCGACACGCCGTGGAAACGCAGGCGAGAACTGGGGAGATAGAGAGAAATTAAGCGAGGCAGTGGAAGAGAAAGGCGGGGAGATAGGCTCCGCAGAGGAAGCGCGAGATTTCTAAGAAATGGGAACGAGAAGCTTGACATGCGCCGACGAGGGTCTGCTGCTCACTTCTGGCGTAAGCAGCACGCCTGTTTATATATAGCTCTCCCAATGCTACTCAGCATAAAACACGTGGCGTTATCGAATATATATACATATATATATATATATATTATTTTTCAAAATAATTTTTTAGTAATTTTTTTTAAATAGAAACAAAATAATAGCCAAAATCTATCCCAAACAAAAATAGAAGTCAACAATTTTCTTATTATTTACTATAACAATAATCTAACACAAATATTTTTTTTAAAAAAATAGCAACAAAAAATAATGATAAAAATTTGTCCCAAATAATATCTAAATTATTTCTTACAACATTATTCTATTAAATGTATATTTATATTAATACTTATTATATAATAATATTTTAATTTTTATTAAAACTTATCTTAAAAGTAAAATAAAATAAAATTATCATCCCAAGCACAAATTTTTATTGGACAAGGGGCCAATTTGCAGGAAAAAAGCATTTGCTAGCCGTTAAAAAACATGCCTTGCAAATCTATTTTGATTCGCAACAGTCACTGTTTGTGGTATAGATGCAACCAATCTCATATTTTATTTATTTATTTATAAAGTTAAATGGTTGCATATGAATTTTATAATAATAAATGTGGCTCATGTTATTTGGCCTTGTTCAGGTTTTGCTAAACGTCAAAGATGTTGAAAATTTCAGCTGAAAAATTTGATAAAAGCTCATGTTATTTGGCCTTGTTCAGGTTTGCTAAACGTCAAAGATGTTGAAATTTTCAGCTGAACATTTTGATAAAATTAATGTATTTATCTGTCTGCATTTGGTTTTAAATGTTTTAGGGTTGATACTCATCAAAAATAGTCTATGTCCAGCACGTATCTCAAAGTATATAAAATTGAAAATTCTTAAAATTAGATTTAGGGTTATATGAACTATGATTTTAGTAAACTATATTTGAACTGAACGTTTCAATGAGATGAACCTAAATATAGAAAAAGTAGTTCAGTTTGAGTTTGAATGAGCCCAAATTGAATACTTAAAATATGATTGAAAACTTCATAGTATTAATTGGATGAGCCAACAATCTCTAAATCTTGCATGCTTGTCTAGTTGAGCATCTCGAGCATAATGATCCAACGAGAACAAGATCATTTAATTCTAACATTATTAAGATGCTTAAATGATAAAAGGAATAGTCTAGCTATGATTAAGGGAATCAACACAGACCGTCTGATGGGGTGTTCCAATTTTTTTTATATATTTATAGGCGTGTCACTCTAAAAATATATATAAATAGGCCCCCACTATATGTGAGACCTCGTTCCCTTACTGTTCCTCTATGATTTGGATTTTCCTCTCTGGATCGTCCAAGACGATTTTAGATCGTCCAGGCCCCCCACTATATACATGAAAGGTTGACTAAAAGTTTGGATTTTAGCTTGAAATTCAAAATAGATTTGAGGCTTTAAGGATCCGAGAGCATCATCATCGAACCAATGTTTGACAGTCATCATTGGACCACCATCCGATTGTCACCATTGGACAAATGATGCCACCATCAGGCCAATGCCAAACCACTTTTTATCAAAAAATTTGCTTGATGCCCTCATTGGACCACCACCTAATGTTGTTGTCGAGCCACCACCTTATCGATACCATTGAAATATCAGTCAACCGCCATTGTCAAATCACCGTTCTTAGACCACTATTGTCACCCCACGGTCCTTCGATATCGTACACTCAACTATTGTTCTTAGACATCCATCACCTGACAATGGTCCTCCAATCACCATCATCGAACTATTGTCCTTCGACCACTGTCGTCTAGCTACGATCCTTTGATCATCATTACCTGACTACAATACTCAAACCACCTTCTCTTGACTACGATCATCTGATCTATGTTGTTCTACTTTGATTCTCTAGCCACTTTTGTCCAACCATGATCCTCTGACTAGAGTTGTCCGACTACGATCCTTCTGACCACTATCACCATATCATGGTCCTTTAAAACACCATTTTCCTACCATGGCACTAACCACCGTCACTCAACTATAGTTTTCCAACCACCATCGTTCGAATAATGTCGTCCAACTTGCATTCTTTTAATCATTATCATTTGGTACTCTAATGCTTATTAACCTCATCACTTACCATTACTAATAATGCCAACACTTATACAATTGATGCAAACTGCCAACATTAGCTTTGGCTCCCAACTTCATCACTAAAATTTATGCTGTATTTGTTAATTTATGATCTTTTCGTCTCAAAGAAGTATAACCAAAATTACAAGCAGATGATCTATTATAGATAGCTCACACGCCATATGGAGCTTCTAACTTCTATCACCAACATAATATATTCTTTATATTATATCAATGTCTTTTCTTGAGAAAGGTCTCATTTATAATCAATGACAAATACTAGTGGAAGAATTTTAAGTAGGCTAGGGCTCGTGATTTTTCTCTTTTATAGATTTTTCACATAGAAACGTTGGTGTCTCTTATAATTATTGCATTGCTCTATTATTTTTGTGTGTGTTGAATCTTTATAAAAAACTAAGACGTCAAGCTCTCTATCTTCCCAATTGTGCAAATTATCTTACAAACAACAAGAGTATTTTAGATTTTTCAGCCTAAATTTAGTTGTTTCTACATTTGTAACATATATAGAGAGAGAGAGAGAGAGAGAGAGAGAGAGAGAGAGAGAGAGAGAGAGAGAGAGTATTAAAGAGAGTTTGCCCATAATAGCCATAATCGAAAAAATATCCCCGTTGTCCCTTGTAAAAATATGTCCATAAAATTATTTTAGAATTTCATGCCCTTATTATGTCTCATATGCCATAAATTTGACTCGATTAGGCATAAACATCAATGCATATTTAAATTAAAATTTATAGAAATAAATTCAAGATCATATGGACTATGATTTTAACAAATTAATCAAACTGATTAACTCGATGAGACAAACTCAATGATACTAAAAATAATTTTATTCGAGTCCAATTAAACTCAGATCAAGAGCTTGAAGTATAGTTGAAAATTTTGAACTACAAATTTGTACAATGAAATTCATTACTACATGCTCAATTACTTAAATTCTATTTACGCCGCTTAACTTTTATTTGTGACTCTCATAGGTGAGATGAGACCCAATTTGATTCTAAGATGCACAAAGTTGCTCTACCAATTATATTTTATAATGCTATTTTTAAAATCTAGTCAAGGAAGTCCTAAAGGTAGTGTTGAGCTTATGAAAGGCTTGAGAAAGTTTAAGGGGCCCTCAACTAGCTAAACAAGTCCAATGATGGCTAAAAATAGTTACCATGAGCTCAATCAAGTGCTATTAGTTAGATTAGAGGTTAGGGGTAGATTGCTCTGCACTCAAATGTTGAAACACCATTGGTGGGCTCTTTGCACCTATCATTTGAGCTTGAAAGAGGCAATAATGGTCTCCTTGCCGCTTGATTTGATTAAGAAATGAGATAATGGGCTATCTAAGGCATACCCATCACTCGAATGGTGGTCTAGATATATAGCTTGGGTTGAGCTAAGGTGAGTCAAGGGATGTCTAGGACATCCATCGGAGATAAGCGAAGGATCCAGTTTGGTGTGCTGAGATCAATTCGAGTCAATTGGTCCAATTGGATTCATTATAGGATCAACTTGATTTCATTAGAGTTAGGACCACTAAGTCAATAAAATTTGTCACAATCTTGGTCCAAATGGACACTTAGAATCAAATAAATGTAAACTTAAAGGACAATTTAGGTCAAATAGGCCAAATGATGTTAATTGGGTCTACTTGGCCAAGGTTAGGTTAACTAGGGGATAGGCACTTAAAGGTGGGTTCAAAGGGTCCACCTAAGGTCTAAGGAGCATAATAAAGAATTGAGATGTGTCAATATGAGTTACCTACTAAGTATGATATTACAAACCCAAAATATGCTTATGAATGTGGATTTATTATCAGTAAACGAAATCATAATCCAAGCTATAAACAATATATTACTTTATGCTAAGTATCATATTATTATATTCATTGAGTTAGCTCGAATCAAATAGCGAGCAGGTTTTCATGGTTCAATTTGATTTATAATTAGGCTCAAGAAGTCCCCTTCAACCATGCATGCATGAACTCTTGCATATATAGATTTAATATATAAATACATCGATGTATGTATGCATTAATTCAAGTTTAAATATATAATAAATAATCCAAAATTGTTTCAAATCAGATTTGACTCATTTATTAGCTTATTGACTTAAATTTAAGCCAAATCAAATCAAAATCAAACTTATCATCATTAAATAATCATTACTCTTCAAATAAAAGTGATAGTTTATATAGTGAACCTCACCATCCTTTCATCTTTTATAATTAAATTTTATGAAATAAACGACTTCTCAATTGCTTCTCATTCTCTTTCAAATAATTAATAGGGACCTATTTTTGATATGCTATTCTAAACATTTATCACAAAATTATTACTTTAATTTTCAAGACAAATTTTGAAAGACTAAAAATAAGAAATTATTATATAATTGGAAGGAACCTAAACCAACCTAATGCGGCTCTCATCCTTCATTTAGATTTTGTTTGGGACAGTTTTCTTACTGTTTTTTGAAGTAACATTTTAGTACAAAAGTTTTTTAAAATAGAAATTTTTGTACTACAAATCTGATTCAGAAAGCAGTAAGAAAATTATCTCATAAGAAGTCTTAATCGCATAATGAAGAAAGCTTTTAAATTTCTTTCTTGTACTATGCTTTGCATATTCACCTCATTAATTAGCTTTTGATGAATTAATTCAATGTTTTTTCATCCATTTTATCATTTATTATATGTTAATTATGGTAAATATTAAAAACAGTAATTGGAAGGCAATATATATTTGGATCTTTCTACCTCCAAATTCATACAAAGGAATATAACTATCAGAACACAAATAAGGATGGTTGTTATCACAAAACATCAACATGCACTGAATTTTTTTTTCTTTTTTAAGCTCTGTTTCTAATTCAGACATTCAAATCAAA